AATCCCGGCTTCGGCGGCCGCATGCAGGCGAAAATGCTGTAGGTCTGTGTGCTCAAACTTGGGCGCACGTTAAAGAACCCCTGGTGGTCGAAATTTCCGGAGCCTTTCACTATGGCGTCTCTTACAATGATAGGGTGGTTTTGGTGCGTTAAAACCCACTTATCAATATCACTGCTACACTGCCCAAGCTAATCCGGTTGGAGCTTGGGTCAATTGAAATGCACCAGGTTGCACTTGTGGGCTGCAAAACATAAAAATGAAAAGAAAGCTTTGTTTGCATTTTTTCTTGCGAGCCTGGTGGCACACATGTCAGCGTCTCGTTATACAGGGGACACTCGTAGCATCCATTCATTCATCCACATGCCATTGACAAAACTCGGCGAACGATATTTCTAGAGCCCTTTATCAGCAATGTTATTCGTGCAAGCACCACTCGAATCTCAAAAAGTTTGTGTGCTACTGCAAAAGTAATTTCACAAATCTATCATTCGATACAGTTTACTTGTATTGCTGTGTGAGATTCTTAATATTCGCTTTTACTTCTGATGGCCCCAGCTCGAAGCCATCCAGTGGCAGTGAAGTGTCAATCTCGTTGCACGCGCCAGAGTTTCACTTCTGGCGTCTCAAGTCTTTCAGTCGCTCGTTCTAGGGGTCACTTACTGTAAAGGTTTCTTACGCGTTCACTGCGATGAAATCGAAAAGCTGGCGACACTCATAGTCGGTTGACTTCGAAGTGCTCCAACTCTCCGACGATGCAAGAGCAGGGAAGACAACGGTCGTCTGCTTCTCGATTGATTGATTGATTGATTGATTGATTGATTGATTGATTGATTGATATGTGGGGTTTAACGTCCCAAAGTTACCATATTTATGAGAGACGCTGTAGTGGATGGCTCCGGAAATTTTGACCACCTGGGGTTCTTTAACCTGCACCCAAATCTGAGCACACGGGCCTACAGCAATTCCGCCTTCATCAGAAATGCAGCCGCCGCAGCCTGGATTTGATCCCACCACTTGCGGGTCAGCAGCCGAGTACCTTAGCCACTAGACCACCGCGGCGGAGCTCTCATCTGCTTCTCCCATAAATACTTGAGGTCAATATGAATCTTTAAAAAATGGCATATTTCAAATATTGTTCCAATTTGAACAGTTTACAATTTGCTTTTTCTTAAATAAAAATCTACCTGTTTTCATGAGTTATTATTGAACTATGCTTGATTTTCTTGTTTATTGTGCATTCAACAAGCTAGGCCAGGGGCTGCACGGGACAGCGAAATCGCTATCTCTCAGCCACATTGTGATGTGCTAATCGCGATTGTCTTGAGCTTGATCGTGCCTGATTTTGATTAATAGTGACCGAGTAGCAGAACCTAATCAGGATCGGCACTGACGCAATTAAAAATGAACGCGTGACACCGTTATAAATGTGCCACACGTTTGGTGTACAACATTCCGTTCACCTGTGAGATTCGGTCGATGTATTAATGCTATAGGCTGTGTGAGCATTACGCTTCCTTGAATTCGAACGATGGCGTTAATCTTGCATGTCACTGTCGTGAATATGGTTGCCGCCCGATTTTTAGAAATGTCACTTATCTGGTAAGCGGAAAGGGCGAAAAGGAGTGTGAAATTGTGCTGGCATAGCGCATTAGGAAGAGCAGAGATATATGTATAAGCACACCGTCGATTTCCCCCCACGACAAGGAATTTAATGGTTTTTGACGATGGCAAAAAAAATATGATGGCGTTCTCCATCTTTCTTTCACCGGGTGACGTGGTAGGTGATACTGGTGCACGTGCGTTCTGAGATTTCTTGGCTGAATGCTTCCCTTTAATGATGTCAGAGTTGTCAGTTCCAGTGGTGTGTGCGTCTGCCCCTTTCTCGTGCCTTTGTCAGCTTTTATTCAAGAACTTGAATCAACTGGCCCATATACTAACTTTCTTGCTAGGCACATGAGTGCACTTGTAGAAGCATTCAGTGAGCATAACCACCGCTACGCACAAAGGAAAATGTCCAAACCACTTTTCTCGATTCTCTCACAGAATCACTAGAACACGTCATGCTGTACTGCAGGGGTCGGCAACCTATGCTGCCCGCGGGGCAGTTTTGTACGGCCCCTGGCTAGACGCCAGAACCCACCTCTTAAAGGGACTCTGCAACACTTTTCCAAATAGCTATGGAATGGATTTACTGAAGGAGCTTATTGCCGCACGAATTCAACGCCGTAAACATTTTCAGAATTCAACCGGGACGAGCAGAATTACAAAGATACTCTGCTTTCTCGTCCCGACAAAAGCGCTTAAAGTTAAGCACGAAGGGATGGCACGGGAAAATAAAATACGTCACGCTTGACCTTGACTACATTTTATCGTTTTTTTTTTCTCCTACGCGTGGTTTTTCAGAGTGATCGCGCGCACGCGTGGACAAATCGCGCCCTCCTGTGGCGGGCCCTGTAACGACCAGAGGCTGATAACTTGACCTATGACGCAGGATTTTCTGTGCCCGTTGCGTCATTCGTCGAAAGAAGAGAAAGGCATTCTTAGCTCATTTTGATAATTTATTGTTAATTCCAGGCCGGTGTGCTGCGTTATAGTATTTGGCTCGCATGACCTCGGGAGCCTCGACTACCGGTGAGTATACAGTTTTCTGACCATGCTCAAGAAGTGTTGCAGTGCTCCTTTAAGGCCAATGTGGCTGTTTTGACCTCAAATGTGGTTAAACAGAAGCAAAAAGAATCACTTCCATTTAGCATTATATCCTATCTTCACACGTCGCCTAATAACATCATCCCTTTCTACTCGGCACATAAAAAAAAAGCAAGGGCGGGGGTATTCGTAGTGGAATTAAATCAGGGAAAGACCTTAACCCTACAATTTTCAGGTGTTTGTCAACAGTTTCATATTCGACTTTTTCAAAAATGAAGCTCACTGAAGCAAGCCAGTGTTCCCGACTAACCGATGAACACCGTCACGACTTTCCGCGTCTAAAATGAAAAAAAAAATTTGGTGTTGCGGTTTAAAATTGACTTAGAATGGTCAGCGCTTAATGTTTAAATAAAAAAGCTTTAATTTTGTTTTTTCTTGTAACCTGTTTTTGTTGATTGATTGATTTGTGGGGTTTAACGTCCCAAAACCACCATTTGATTATGAGAGACGCCGTAGTGGAGGGCTCCGGAAATTTTGACCACCTGGGGTTCTTTAACGTGCACCCAAATCTGAGTACACGGGCCTACAACATTTCCGCCTCCATCGGAAATGCAGCCGCCGCAGCCGGGAATCGAACCCGCGACCTGCGGGTCAGCAGCCGAGTACCTTAGCCACTAGACCACCGCGGCGGGGCTAACCTGTTTTTGTAAATGGTAACATTGTGAGAGGTGCGCTGAAAATAATTATCGTTACTCTTCTAGTCTCGTACATTGCTACCGATCCGCCGAACTTTTCTCCTCTGGCTCCCTCCTAGTCGGCTTGATGCATGTAGCTCAACCCTCTGTCTCGAATGGCTGGCGACCCGAGCTCTACTGGATTGCAAGAGAAGAGGTAAAATGTAATCAATCGCATAATTCATTGGATGGCGCAGCAAAAGCCACTTGTGATGACAATCAGCAACAATGGATTGCACAAATGTGCTTTGAGCTCGCGGGCACGCAAATTCGTGTTCTTTCTGAGCTGTTCAAACAAGACAAGTGCTCATCGCTGAGGCAGAAATTACGTGCAAGTAGGGGCACCTGAAGCGGGTCAGATGAAATAGCAGCGGTAGATAAGCCCATCGCGGATATGTTGCGTCAAGCCGTGCAATGCCCGAAAGGAGTACGCAAATGCTTGCAGATGACAAGAGCAAAGAACAGCGCGAAAAAGCCATCTTCCTGAGGTGCTACTGCAATAGTAGCTTCTATATAGCTACCGTGAGTATCCAAAACCCTGCACAATTTTACAGCAGCAGGTGATTGCCGGGAAACAACCAAGTCATTTAACATAAGATTGGTGACTAGGGTAACTTGCCCGTTATCCCGAGTGGTTAAGCTACTCTCGTGTTCATCTGTTTAAGCTGCATTAATGTGTACGCCGTATGACGGTTCATTAATGTATCCACCACGGGTTCATTGATTAAGAGGGCAACTGTTAGCCCGACACTCGGGTATGCGCCACAGAAAGTGGTCACGTTCCACGACTCACCCTCCTTCACTGAAAAGGAGGAAGCCAACAATTAGCCCAACACGAGGCAACTGCAAAGGTACCGGCGGGAACACCCCTATACGCCAACGACGCAAACTTATGAGCTGTACGAACGCTTGGTTTCAGCGCGAGACGCGTTATGACAGTTTCTGGTTGGACATTTGGGTCGTGTCACTTGCAGTATGAGAGGTGCGAACGCCTGATTTCAGTGCCAGTTTTGGTCGTCGAAGTTCGTACGTCCGTGTTGAGTCTGTGGTTCAACTCGAACCTCTCTGCGCTGGGAATCCGCGTAAAATTGATAATTACCTACCTAACGGCTCGCATGGCCCTAAAAGCAGCCTTCAGTATCATGCGATGTTTAAGGCTTGCGTGGCTAGCTTCGCTTTTTTTTTTTTCGAGAACACAACTTTGAGGTTCTGTGCTTTCTTTGTATCTAGGGCACTGTGTTAATGTCCGCGTGCAAGTGCTGACGGTCACTTCGCCTTTGTTTTGATTATCAGATAACTTTGTACAAAGAGAGCCGTGCTATGCGGGCCCAACTGTTAATGGAAATCGGGCCAGGGCACGCGACATCGACTTGAGCGCGGAATACGATTAGATAGTGGGATATAACCATAGGTCTTGTACAAAATCGCCCCGTTGCCGCAAGGATCTGGAAACATCGGTGTTGTCTTCAGCAGAACATAATTTTGCCGAAATTTATGCTGACGACACCACGTCAGCAATAATAGTAATTGAAATATATTTAGAACTTGTAACATATCGCTGCGTGTCTGTCTCTGCCACTTAATTTTTTCGTCCTGAATGAAGCCAACCAAAATCATATCTGTCCTCAAGGCAGTGATAAGTTTATTTGCCTGTCACTACTGGGCTTTTCAGTGTAAAAAAAAAATGCATGAATTCTGCGCGTGAATTCAGTGGTTCTGCGCAGACGCGTTGTTAAAGGCCTTCCAGAGGATCAACATACCTCATCAGGCAACACACCGTACGCATTGTCTGTTTTCCGGTAACAAAATGGCGATACGTCATACAGCTTAAGTGTAGAAAGAAAGCACTTTTACTGTGATCCATGAGTGAGAGCTGCCGACATTTTCATGTATGACCTCTATAGGTATTTCTCGCTTATAGTCCCACTGGCATAGTCAATATCTTGACACGTTAAGAGCTTGACACGCTTTGTAGCTATGTCATCTGCATAGTACACTTCAAAGAGCCTCTCAATGTTTGTGACCTTGCTCGAGGCATTCTACATAGTGCAAGTTCGTTTCTCACAGGTTCAACACATTCGGCTCTCTAGCGTTGTACCGAAGCGTAAGTTTGCTCCAAATCATAACCGAACATGCGGAATTCGCCAAGTGGAAACCACTGAAACGTTTAAAGCACGGTATTTTCGTTAGCTCGCTAGACGAGACACGAAAGAACGAATGGTCGCACAATACACAGTCTTTTTCTTTCTTAGTTCTTTTTAGCAACCAATGGCTGAGCTGCCTACGAGATATTCATCAGCACTTTGACAATCTAGTAAAAAAGCATACTTGATGCAAAACGAGAGAACCTGCGAGTTATCGCTAAAAGAATACAAATATTGTGCGAATTTTTCGGGGAATGTCTCGTGACTTACTATTGCCCTAACAAATATTGAGATTAGTTTTTTGATCAGCGCCGAAGTTTTCTGTCATCTGCAGAGTGGATAAAGAAATTCACCCTTTTCTGTGCAACGAAAACTTGTATAAAGCTAAGACATGGTTGCCACAAACAGAAACGTATGAAATACCGTGCATTTCCAGTCATTTTTGGCCGATATTACTGTGGCCTTTCTGTGAAGCTTCCTGTGTGCGGACGACTGCTGCAGCAGTGTTATGAACAGCCGGTGTATCATCATTCGCACTTTCTTCGGTACCAAAAAAGCACTTTCCTCAAATATTCCTCTCAAGTTATACACCCAACTCGGCCCCATGGGGCTGAATCTCCGTGACTGCAGCGGGCAGTTTACACCTCTCACCTCCTTTTATATCACCGATATTACGTGCTACGATGGATGTTCAGGAAAGCCATTTTTCACAAAGCATGTGCATTCCGACAGTACGGAAGCTTAGCCACTGGTTATCGAGACTGAGGCGCCGTAACATTGCAAGTTAGAGTTGTTGGCAGGTGACGCACGTGGCCGCAACACACGCGGTTGAACACAAAGTGACTTGTGCGCCATATAGTCACTGCATCCATGGTTCGCCGAGTTTCTCCACGAAAGCCCATCGATTTCAGACGACACGAGCCCGCGACTCGGCTGGAAGCATCTCTGACGACTGAGCATTGACTTCCACCGCCTGCTGCTGTATTAGTACACGGAAACAAGTTCAGTCCATTCTAAAGACGTAGTCCAAGATCACATGTGGCTGTGACGAGGCTTGCGCACGCCACTCTCCGAGTCATCGGCGTAGCTCGCCACACTACTCCTGCGGTCGTTGTAGACCTGGAGCCGTAGACTCTGCCGGGCCGCTGCGGACGTGTCTTCGTCGGGTTGGGTCGTCTCGTACGCGTCGTTGGTGTAGCCCTCACCATTGGCGCCCGAGAACACGCGGTCGGCGGGAACGTTGTTATTCCGGTGTCGCGTGCGAACCCCCGGAGGGCCGCCACTGCCAGCGACCGCAGCCGCGGCGGCAGAGTATTGGTTCTTGGCACCTAGCGTCTGCATCTTGCTGTGGTTGGCGAGCACCGTGTTTCGGCGCACTTCCAGTGCGCGGAGAGTGTCCCGGTTACGGCTGAAACGCCGCAGGCCACTCAGCACTGGTGTTCCTGCATGTGCTGAACAGAAAAGCGGGAGATCCATATTTTACACAAATATTCGTACTAGATAACGGATCTACGAGATAAGTGAACGCGATTTACTTGGCGTAAACAAGGCTAGTCTGAGGCATTAAACTACCCTGAACAAACTATTTCGAGCGAGTAATCTAGACATTTAACGTAATCTAGACAGAACGTAATCTAGACATTTAGCGCAAGCTAACAATACTTTTCTATCATGTCAGCTCACCTTCCGCATCGACAGCGTTGATGCTCATAAACCTTTTCCGGAACGCCACGTCCAAGGTTCCAGTCCTGGCTCTCTGGTGACGACGTTTCTCGAGGTTTTGTATTGTCTTTCGGCGTTCTAACCGCTCCGGGCCTAAGTATTCGTCACTGTTATCGTCATCTTCGTCGATACCCTTGAGCCTCTGTAGCTGTCTGGCGATTTGTATGGCATTGCGGTCAATGAAAGCGTCATCGCTGACGTCCTCCACCTTCTGGTGGCAGCAGGACAGCTCAATGGACGCCAGGATGTGCGACAGGGTCTCGAAGCGATGGAACAACATTCCCGTGAACTGTATCACCATGATGACGGCGAAAAAGATCACGAAGATGAGGCCGATTGGCTCAAGCTGCAAGTGCTCCTTTTCGATGACCACTTGAGACGTGTCCGGAATGAAGGTGATGTTGGTCTTGACGCCCAGGGGCCAGTTCACGTGCAGCTGCTTCTTGTTCAGTTGCAGCAAGAACACAATCAGAATGAACAGCGCGTTGAGCATAAAGAAGGCGAATACCACGCGATTTCGCAGTTCCTTCAGGTCGGCTGCGATTCGGGCCTGTTCCTCCTTGTTCTCATCGATAGGGTACAGATACTTCTCGATCAGGTCTTTCCAGAACTGGATCTCGGGTCCTGGCAGGTACTCCACTTCACCTCTCTTGAGCTCTTTGTCTTCAATCCAATACGGGTTGATCAGATCATCTCTCTCTTGGCGGGGCTCTGCACGAAACAAATGAATAATACGTAGAGACAATGACATTGATTCCTGATGTAATTTAATACGTACGCCATTGTTAAGCTTACTTAAGCTGCCTTTCAGTACATTCGTGAATTCATAACACCAATTTCGTTGTTAGCGAATGACACGAAACGTTTGCGAAGTAGCTACTCACCGAGTTGTTCGCTGAGTGATCCACAGGTGTCACTTCCGTACTCGTTGCCGTCGTCTTCCACGTCCTCGTTGAGCACAGAGAGGCCTCCGTCCGACTGCCTGGAGCTGCGTCCATGAGCTGCGGGCTTGCGCCTCGGTGGTGGTACCCCGTGCACGATCTCGAGCTGGCGCTCCATGCTGCTGATCTTCTTACTCAGGTTGTCGAGCTGATCGCTGATCCTGGCCAGATGCACCTTCTCCTCGCGGTTGTTGGGGTTCGAGCATATCATGCATGTGAACAGCCCCTGAAGTCCGAACATGCCTTCATCGCTGCCCTTGCCACTGAGGTCTAGGAGCCCCAAGAGCCCCCCTTTTTTCTTTTTTTTCTTCATCTCCTCCTCCAGCTTACGCTCTTCCTCCATCTCTTTCTTCGTCTTCTTGGTCTGGACTTCTCGTGTTCCCCAGGTGACGACGTTTAGGTTGATCAGGGAGTACAAGATCAGGAGTAGGTACATGGAGGGGACGCTGAGGAAGTACAGCAGACCCGGTATGATGCACATAAACTCCTGCGGATGCATTAACGCCGCCACGAAGAAGCTACTCGATAAAGATATAAGGAAAATGGCCGACGGTGAACCGACGCCGTCTTCGGATACCTGGATGGCTGTGCCGACGAGTACAGCCATCATGAGTAGTGCGTACGAGGCGCTCATTATTTGGGCAACTATAATCTGCAAGACAAGCAAGAGCACACAGAGGACGCATCAGGCGCTGAGCAGTCTCCGCACAAGAAACTTTATCATTAATACAGTGAATATATGTGGTTTGCAGTGAAAACTATGGCAGAGTCTGCATGAAATCAGTGTGACCATGCCTTCCGTACGAAATTAAACCACAATTTTCGGTAGTTTTTCCATTTTTCCTTTTATCCAAAAAATATTGCATGCCCATGAACATTTTATCTCTTTTAGACGAATATCGTTCAAGGCCGGAAATACGCATGTTCAGAAATTTCAGAAGTGCGTCTATATAAAGTTCCTGTGAGAAATTTATCTGTTTCTCCGAAAATGTTTGGACAAACAATTCGCGCTCTGTCGCGCAATGTACTGAGCAGTTCTGCCCCATATATAATCACCGCAATGTAATGAACAGCTTACTTCATATAAACTTGTTGGCATGTGGGATGCATCGCAGTTGTTTGAATGCAGTATGAACAAACTCATTTCTTCAGAAACTGGGACTGGTTTATTATCCAAGTACAGAAGCACACGTTCCTGAAACTAGCCGTACATGCAGATCATCGTGTTCTCGTACTTTTAAACACATTCCCGCATAATTTCCGACTAAGAAACACCATGTGTGACGTTATACCACCACCGTAAAACTTGAAGGAAAGAAAGGGCTCGTTTTTTCTTGGTTAGACACAATATTATTGCGATCTAACAGACAATAATAACAAGGAAAGTGTGGCGGATGTTATACGAGATAATCTTAATGTAAGTGCGAAGAAAAAAAAAAGTGGATGAAAAACTTGCCGTGGGCAGGCACCAAACCTGCGACGTTCGAATAACGCGTCCGATGCACTATCAATTGAGCTGAGCACAGCCGACTGAGGATAGCCGCCGTGCTAAGTTGGTAGAGCATCTGACGCGTTATTCGAATGTCGCAGGTTTGGTCTCTGCCCACAGCAAGTTATCTTTTCATCCACTTTTCTTTTTTCACATTTACGATTATCTCATTTAATATTCGCTATACTTTCCTTACATGATCGTCTGTTAGATCGCACTAATATTGTGTCTAACAATGAAAAATGAGCTCATAAGTGTACACTTCTTTCCTTCAGTCATAGCAAGCGTCTCATTCTGGCAGACTTCTTGCCTTCAGGTAGTATATACGAGGGTCTATTGGTCAGCCGCCAGCTTGTAAGAAGATCATGTGCTAAGTGACGCCAAACAAACAGAAAAGGAGTGTTCTACACTAGCCATCATGGCCACAGGCGGCGCTGCCTAACGATCCAACGTTTAATTCACATACCCAATTAGGTCGATGGGGAAGGGGAGGGGGATAGCCGCCGCGATATCTCAGTTGGTAGAGCGTCGGACGCGTTATACAAAGGCCGCAGGTTGGGTCCCTGCTGACGGCAAGTAATCTTTTGATCCACTTCTCTTTCTTCACATTTACATCACAATCATTTTATAACATCCGCTATACTTTCCTTGACATCATTATCCGTTAGATATCACTAACACCATAAAAATTGAGAGGGCTCTAAGTCGCGGTGCTTAAGTATAGCTATTTTATCGGTCTCATTAGCTGATCCACGTTGCTGGGGGCCGGTATCCTACTTGCTGTTCTCATTACACTTCTAGAATTGACGTCCTAACGTGACGTTTCTCCTAACCCGGAAGGAAATTTTGCTGTGTCTGCACTGCTGCTATGCAATGTTCAGGTTACGGAAACGAGCGGCAGAGTACTGTTACAGTTGCATTACATGAATAATTCTATAGTCACGGTCCTGTACAAGAACCAGCAACGTACCTGGATTTCGTTCTTAGTGGTAAAACAGATGAGCATGAAGAGCAGGATGGGCACGATGTTGTACGAGAAGGAGATCCAGTTGGAAATCTTGAAGGCGGCTACCATGGCACCGACCAACATGAGGAAGATGGTACCGGGACCGAGGATAGTGCCCACCATGAGCATGCCCTGGTAGATGATGTAGGGGAACGAGATGTTGTCGTTGATGGCCACGGTGCGTTTGTAGTCTCCCAGCAAGTCCATGATGTTGGCCATGGTCGAGGGCGCCCAGCGACGCCGCTGCGTGTAGAACTCGCCGAAGCCTTCGGGACAGTGCGTGTAAGCGTCTGAGGCAGCGCTGTATTCGACACGGTACCCTCGCTGCAGCAGCAGCGTGCACAACCAACGGTCTTCGCCTGCGAATCGTTTGGTGTAACTTCAGTGCTGTTGCGCGCAGTGACTAAGTGTCTATTTTGCACTAATCCCTGACAAGCAATGGATTTTCGTACGCTCAATTTCCCAACGTTGTCTCGCAAGACTCCCACCGCAAAAATGTCAAGTATAGATGTACCGTAGCTCACTCCATAAAGCATTGCATCAGTAATGCAGGTTATGTAGGTAAGTCTTCCGCTAACTGAAATGTGTAGGCTTGTGCGAATAGTCATTTTGGTCGAATAATTTCGAATCGAATTCGAATAGTATGTATGACATATAAAAAAGGCAATATTTATCATAACCTAACTAACCTGCACGATACTTCTTTTGAATTGAAATAGGCGCTCTATGCAAATGCCTTTTTTTTTCGTCGAAAGGAAGTCGAAACAACTTTGATTAGTAGTTTTGGTAGGATCCGAGTGATAACCTGTAAGATACATATCGTTTTAAAATTTATTATACTTAAATCATATAAACCATCATATCAAGCTGAATAAAATGAAGGATTGGCTTGAGGGTAACATGTTCCTTTAAAGAGGCCCTGCAACACTTTTTCAGGTATCCATGAAGCTAGTAAACATGCTTTCGCCTCACATATTTACCGCTGCAAAGTTTCTAGAATCAGTTCAGTACGAGCGGAGTTCCAAAAATTTGTCGCATGCTGCAATTGCATTCTCCATTCTCAACCCGTCAAAAGAGCTAGAAGCTAAGTAGGGAAGGATGGCACGGGAAAAGAAAAAAAAAAACGTCGTGGGTGCCTAGTGACCTTGAGCATTTTTTTCTTTTTTTTTTCTTCTAATACGAGGCCTTTCAATGCGATTTTGCACGTACTTGTGGACAAGCGGCGGCCTCACGCGGCGGTCTGATAACGACGAGCGCGCCATGCTCAAATCAGTCAATGACTGTGACCAGAGCCGTATTTTATTTCTTGGCTGTGACAAGTGATTTTTGAGCTTGTGTCATTTGCCGAGGGAAGAGAGCAATTTTTAGCTTTGAAAATTCATTGTGAATTTCAGGCCACGTGCTGCGCTATAATACTTGCCTCGTGTGTTCTCGGTAGCCTCGACTACCGATTGGCAGCGTTTTCTGACCATGCTCAGTTAGTGTTGCAGGGCCCCTTTAAATCTGAAGGGGGGCTTCGCGGCAACGCTAGTTTCTTTTGAAAAAGTGTTTTCACGGCTTCGCATTATCACATTGCAGTGAAACAATCTTTACAAGCAAACTAATGCACATTAATTCATTTATTGTGAATACTTCGAAAATAATCGATAATTTAAATTCAAACTGCAGCGAATTCAAATGATCACCTATTCGTTCGAATATTCGAAGCATTCGAATATTTGCACAAACCTAGAAATGCGTATTAGCGTTTATTTTCGTTTCCACTGTCTTCGTAACTGCTTTATTTAAGTTAGCACACAGTCTTTTCATATATTTCACGCTGCTAGGCGGGTTCTTCACATGGCTCGCGGTTTACGTTTTGTGGAGACCCGAGATTTCACCAAATCAATTCTTCGCTTGAACTCGGACATACATCTGGATTTCATCGACGCGAAGCTTCGCTTCTTTGTCGGCTTTAGTTAGTGGTTGCCTTTGCTGATTGATTGGAAGTAGGAATGACCGACAGTGTGGAATGTGAGGTCCGTGGCACCGAGAAAGACATTGATCATGTGCTATGCCACTGCTGCTGATTTGCCTTTAGAAGACGAATGCTTTCTGATGGGATGCGAAAGATTGGACGATCGGACGTTCTCTGTGCAGTTGCTACTAGATCACCGTCCCCATCACCCGTCGGCCAACAAGACAATTAACGCTCTATTGTTTTTCGAAGGACTATGTATCTTTGTGAGTGGCTGCAACTACTGTGCAGGGTCAATGCCACAAAAGAGTCAGTGCACTTGTTGTCGTTCTTGTTTTGCGTTCTCTTTTCTCTGTCACTCTCTTATTACCATTCTCTGTCCCTTTTTCCCAGCGTAGAATAGCCAACCTGACTGCAGTCTGGTTAAGCTTTTTGCCTACTCCCTTTCATATTTTCCCCACCATTTTCTTAATTATCTCTTGGTTTTGCGGCACTGAGTTGGCGTGTAGGTGAATACCTTGATCGTACTGCACGTAGTGCAGAGCCTCGTCAGAGCGGGTGGTGTACCGACGCATCACGTTGTCGTCCATAAGAGCCTTGGCACGGAAGAGGGAGAAGCAGCCGGGGCTACAAAGCACGCAGCCAATCATGTGCTCGGTGGCTTTCTGTAGCCAATGACCAATAGCGTACTCGAACTTCTGGTACCACACCATTGGACCTGTAATAAATTTATCGTGTATAAACTCAATGAAAGCTTGTTTCTGGACCAGTTGGTGAATATTTATTTCAGTGTTAGAAAATACACACATGAGCGACAACAGGCGTGTGTCCTGTACTATGTCTCGCATTTGTCTCTTTTAGCACTGAAATGCGTTGTGTATAAACTTGTGTACGATATTATAAAAAAAAAGCCAATAATATACGTTTGACATCTGTATGATTCGCATGACATAAACAAGCAATGCTCAGTTGCAAACATCCTTATTTATCTTCTACTTTGGTTCCTTGTGGCTGTGGGCGGCTCTGGTTAAGGTGACAACGTTTTCTGTTATATTTCACCTACGTCAATTAAAGAAACATGCTTCCTAGAGTATTTTATAAAACTTTGAGACATCCGGCGTTCGTGTATCGTCCAAGAGATCGTGTTAGTATCACTTCTGCCGCAGGTCATAATGTAGCGCATAGATAGTTTTCTGTACTTTCAAAGCGAATGCGGACATTCAAACGAGGCGAGGTGTCGTTCCAAAAATGCTGTCACGTTCATAACAATTGCACCAAGGACGTTCTTGCGAACGTTTTTCATTCGCGATCATTTAGATTTGCGTTTATAATTTCTGTATAGCTGTCCTACACTTTCCCTTTTCTCGTATACCTGTGCCGACGGGGTGAATTCGGCCGCAGGCGGCTCCCAAGCCTCGGTTTTTCTTCATCAAGTCGACGAGCAGCTGCACAGCGTGCGGCCTGAAGTTGATGTCCCCGTCCAGCGCCAGAATGAAAGTGTTCTCGGCCATGACGGCCTTGCGGCTCACGTCGATGGGCAGCTCCATGAGCTTGTGGCCCAGTAGGTAGTACATGTACATGACCTGCGACCAACGCTTTCGGTGCCTGATCTTGCCCTTGTCCTTGAGATGAGCGATGAGCTTGTTCTTGCCCGGCATCTGCCACACCAGTCGGCCACCGTACGGAGTGGGCAGCTTCTTGGGAGGCTTGAGTCGGATGTTGCACTGGTGGACGTTGCTGCGCGGCAAACTTACAGTGAGTCGACAACCGACAAATTTCAGCTCAATTGTTTGCCGTCTTGGCTAAAAAAATATCCATAATGCCACCTTGGATGACAACATTTTCATGTTGCTTCTGCACTCCAAAAGCCCGTTTTAAATACGTTTCGAAATTTTTAGGAGGTAAAATATTTCGAATAGTAAAGACATTTTTCGAATCTGATCGAATGCTGAACCATTCAAATCAAATATTTCAATTTTGAAATGTTCGCACATCACTGGTTTTAAGGTAACGTAATTATAACTGCAAGGTGGTTTACGTCCGAAAACCAAGATGTGATAATGAGACACTGTAGTGGAGAAATCCGGAGCTTTTGACCACATCAGGTTCTATAACATGTACCTAAATCTAAGTATACTGGCCTCAAGCTTTTTGTCTCCATGGAAATGCGGTCATGAATTTCGTTTCAGAAATTGAGCTCCATAATGACAATCCTATAAGGTAACCAAGGTAATTTACCTAGCGGCTGTGTCGATAACCCGCACCATCTGCTTGACGAATCTGTTGACAACCATTTCTTCATCGTTGTCGTCACTCAATTCGAAGGCGTCGTCGAAGAAAACGTGAACTGAAAGAAACATTACATGAACATAAAAAAACTTAAGCATCGATAAAAATTGTCGCTTGAGAATGAGCATCCGACTTTCCTGTCTTTGTATGTTATAGGGTCGCCTGACATCTAAAAATGAAAGCAAGTATGACATTCATTATGAATGGCCTAAAACACATACCTTCAAATTCGTAGTAATCCGGGTCGACAATGCGCAGGTACTTTTGAGCATTCCTTCTCGCACTTTGATCTTCGTCCATCCTGCGTAGAATCAACAGAGGCAAAGTGCGCGGTACTTTGGTTGCTTGTCTTCGTTACTTCTTTTTTTATTTTGATTGGATTTCTGCTGACAATGATGCTCTTGTAAGAAAGCAAAGCTTTTTTCTCATGTAATAATTTTTTTCGTAGGCCTGTTGGTCCTATATGCATTAAACCTTTATAGAAAACAGCACATTGAGGAACCCACGTAAGGGCTGTATTCGTCAGTAGCTCGTGCTTGGTTTTATTTTGGCATCAAACGTTCCTGAAAAGTGACCTCCACTTTTACCTAAGCATACCGATAAATACAACATATTAACTATTAGGGGAACAACTGAACTAATAAACATTTCATGCAGACGTTCAAGACTACCCAGACAATAGAGTGTGCTTTTTGCATTGCACGCACGACTGAGGATATGAGCGATCAGTTCTTGACTGTAGGCGGTGTCGAATCAGCCGTGTACTGCACGCACCTTATGACAGACTTCAACATCTGTATCATTTCTTCAGCAGTCTCGTGCCACATGGTGGCGCAGGCGTAGATTCGAATGATGTGGTCAGCCGTCTTGGCGCACGATGCTGTCCTGCCGTTCTGGTTGCTCGAAGATTCGGTCTGTATCGATATCGTCTCGTAGTACTGCGAGATGTCGTTGTCGTCGTGTGCGTCCAAGGCAAGTTCCTGCGAGATCGATCCAAGATAATTTTATTCTGTTATATTAATTTACACAATAGGCACACACGGTTGATTACCCTACTGTCAAGAGTAATGAAAAATGGCAAATAGCGTTCCTTACATCGCTCTTGATTTCACCTTCGTCGTCCCTTCTTCTGTTCAATGCTAGCGACTGGTCGATCAGGGCACCGCAGTACATTGGGTTCACGAAGAGCCTGCAAATCAAAGCAGCGCAATGGTTAGTTTTCTTCGAATGTGATTTATTGTGTACGTGTGGAGATTCAGTAAATGCATTGTTTGCCCTTTCATCTGTGATTACCGGATGAATGCAACGTCTTTTTCTAGCGCAACATTACCTTTCTTTTTGTAGCTTGAACTCACTGTGGGCTTTGACGTGCATAATGGTTTACGTAAATTTATATATGCTGCCTTCAAAGCGTGAAATCGGCTAGTAGTTTGCAGCACTTTCGTGGCGCATGATAATGAAAACTTGGATGTAAACGCTGCTTGCGATGTTAGCGCCCATTTCCCTGCCTAACCATGTATGATTTTATCCACTAACAGCAGAATGATGTGTTCAGTATATGGACTCGATCTTTTTCAGAACACGTCGGCGTTTTCGAATTCAGCCTCCTCACTCGGGAGTCGTAGCTTGAGACGCGGCGACGACCTTCACCACGCTAGATTCACCCGTAATGCCGTTGCACACTCACTAATCAGGTGTTACGAGTGAATTGTAATGTGCTCGTATCGAGATATAGAGATACGCGACTCACTTCTCAGTTGTGGCAAGCCTCTCACACTTTGGCATCCAGATGTGCACCGCTATCCAGGTCTGCGACAGCAGCCAGGCGAGCCATATCCAGGCGTGCTGAGTGGTGATGAACTCTTGAAAGAACTCTCCGGCCGGACATCTCCAGAAGAGGTACTTGGGTACGTAGCTTTCGAAGAAGCAGACGTCTTCCGTGCGCATGCCGCAAGCCGCGATGAGCAGCGATATCGACACCGGAATGGTCAAGCTCACGGGGAAGGCGAAGCTGAAGCCCTGGATGCAGATCTTGCAGGCGAACTTGGCCGACACGTAACAGAGTAGACTGGACAGGACCTGGATGGCCGCCACGAAAATGGGCGTCCACTCGCTGGCCACTATGGTGACGTCGTCGTCCAGCGGGCTGGCCGTCGGCAGGTCCGGAAGGTCACCCAGGGTCTGACGTCGCACCTGGACCACGTTGATCTTGTGGGCGTGGAAACCGGAGGCGAAGTTGCGGAATATGGTGAGTACGTTTTCCTGCGTCAGGGTCATAAAGCCCAGCATGCAACACAGTATGACCAGAATCTTCCAGCACGAGACGAAGATGTAGGTGAAGTAGCGACTCTTTCGCAGGTCATCCTTCATTTCGGCCAGCCGCGAGACGAACCCGATAGGAGAGCGCCGATCCACGTAGTTCTCCCACCATCGAAACGACGTGAGAAACACGGCGATGGGCACGGTCCAAGTGCGTGGTCCCGTCACCACCCAGGGCCATATCACGAAGCCGGTTGCCTGAGCCAGCAAGCTGAGCGCGTCCAGGATGAGCTTGGCGAATCGCTTGCTTTCGCCCTTGTAGTGGGAGAGCATGCTGAAGAATCCCGGCACGAAGCAGACGCAGTTGGTCAGCATGGCACCCTTTACCACGTCCAGGTCCGGCAGGACGACGAAGACGAGCATACAGAGCCCGACCGTGTGCAACGTCTCCATGAGGAAAACCTGTTAAAAATAGGTTATTCAGGAACGTGGTCATGAGTTTTTTCATTGTCTAAATGTACTTTTGGCTAAACTGTTACTTGATAACTTTTGTTTGGTATTCCTGAGAGAACAATTCACTACGATGCTTGACCCAAAATGAGATTATAAAAACACAGTGATAGCCCAGCATTTTGACAGAACCATGGACTCGAAAGCTTCACCAAAAATCGTGTGACATGAATACAGCACTAACCAAAGGAGTCTGTTTGTTCTAAAGAAATAGAGCTCACTGAGATATTAGCTGCGTTGTGCGTGAAATAGTTGATCCTCTAATTGGTGGTTTATACCTCCTTATATGCCATTTAACCCTTCCTAGTTCGGGCCTATACCCGAAACCATCGATAGCCTGCTATCGATGGTTTCCAATTTCAAATTTTGCCACTCTGAAGCGCTTCCGGAAGGCTAATGTCATACATCTAGAAAACAGCTGCTATTCTTATAGTTCTATTTAGTTGTTTACTTTTTTTTTCTTCCAAAAAGGGCGCTTTGAAGTGTCCTTGAAGTTGAGAGCGTTCGCAGCTCGTAGCTCCGGAGATGGCGTCGATATCGCGCGCACTTGGCTTTCAAAAACAGTTAACGTTGTTGCGTTCCAAAGTGTCTAATCCGTATTTTCTTTAGAATTTCAGCGTTGAAGACACAAAAACAATTTAGAATCATCGGACTTTGGCACAGGCAGCGAAATTGCGTCAAACAGCCGTGGAACGTCAACAGGTATCCGCCGGTTACTTTCGTTTTTATCAGCGAACAGAGTTGTCGCTGCCACTCTCCGTTCTAAAGATACCAGGCGTGTTCTGAGAGCCGCAGCTCTAATCTGCAGGGTGTCAATCCCCTAAGATTGGGCAGGTAAGCAGCACAGCCCACCAGTGGTAGCTCAACGAGGGGAGTTCACCGCTATAAATATATATATATATATATATATATATATATATATATATATATATATATATATATATATATATATATATATATATATATATATATATATATATATATATATAACTTCGGCATTTCACTCCGTATTGCCGCGCCGCGTTTCGTGTCGGAGCAATCAATTTTCTTGTGATATTCTTTCTCTGAGATATAATCACCGAGATGTGAAACACAACGAATAAATATGCATGGATGCCTACACTTGAGCAAAACGTAGAACAAAAAATCACAGTTTATCTACGGAGTGAATGATGATGAGTAGGACAAGACGTCTGCCTGCCTGCCTGCCTGTCTGTCTGTCTGTCTGTCTGTCTGTCTGTCTGTCTGTCTGTCTGTCTGTCTGTCTGTCTGTCTGTCTGTCTGTCTGTCTGTCTGTCTGTCTGTCTGTCTGTCTGTTCGTCCGTCCCGTGTATATACTGGGCTGGCTACGCTGGAGGGATGGGCTGCACTAGACTATAAGAGGCTTCACCACTAAAAAAAAATTGACCCCGTATCTGCATGTTTTTGCAAATGTCGTCGAAAGACGATAGTCTTGCGTGCAGAGAGAGTGAGCAAGACATTTATTTGATGTTCTGCACAAGAAAATCGGTGAATGGTATTCTGGAGGCGCCGCGTTAGAGTGCCTCAAGCGTGCAGCGGGGGCGAACGTGCGCATCAAGTGACGTCACACGTGAGACATGAGCGGCATCTGGCAGTTTTCTTGGAAAATGAAGCGCGTGGCTCTGAGACGAATGTGCGCGCCCGTCTCAGAGGTGATAAGATGTAGAACGCGAGGCGACGGTAGGTGCCACCACCGTGTCATTTTAGCAAAGCGTTGGAAACATCCCCGTTCCGTGCAAGCGTTGCGCGGTCAGCGCAGCATGATAAGCGCTAAGGTCCTTAAAATTACATATGTATGCCTTTTCTAGTAAAAGACGCATGCAGGCGTGTTATGGTGCCCCAGACATGCGCAATAGTTCCTTTTTAACTGACAATTGCACAAGCATGAACGCTCAACCTTGAGCAACATTGGTGGTCGCTGCGGATGGGGTTGGCTGTTTCAAGTACCCGATGTCATAGATAAAAGTGTTTTATCTCTAACCCACACTCACTAACTGGTTTAAATATGCTGTCACGACGCATGGGCTCGAAAGTCGAAGACCATATTAAAGTAGCGGAAATCCAATGAAAGCGTTGTATATAAAATCTTGCGAGATGGAAAGTATTGCAAGCTTCAGCTCTCCCAAATATTGCAAGTTGATAGGGAACAAATGTCTGGGCACGTCGTTCAAGCTTAGTCGACTAAGGTTGCAGGGCGGGCTTGTTGGTTATTCATGTTGTTCGAGGTATAGCGCATACAGGACGGGACAGAGAAGAAAACACAGAATAGCACCATGTATGTAGCCCCGCCGCGGTGGTCTTGTGGCTAAGGTACTCGGCTGCTGACCCGCAGGTCGCGGGATCGAATCCCGGCTGCGGCGGCTGCATTTCCGATAGAGGCGGAAATGTTGTAGGCTCGTGTGCTCAGATTTGGGTGTACGTTAAAGAACCCAAGGTGGTCGAAATTTCCGGAGCCCTCCACTACGGCGTCTCTCCTAATCATATGGTGGTTTTGGGAGGTTAAACCCCAAATATCAAATCAAATCAGCACCGTGTATGTGTTCTGTGTTTTCTTCTCTGTCCCGTCCTGGATGCGCTATACCTCGAACAACACGTTCAAGCTTAGGGACGCGCTCCTTCCAGTAATGTGCCCTGAATCTATACGCATGCAGTGATACACCGAGGTATGTTTGAGGAGTTCTTGTCCAATTAATCATTGCGAACTCATTCAGCGTGCTGCCCCTACAAGCTAAACCACAGTCCTAAACTCTTACGGGCATTTAAATGAGCTCTTGATACTACGCCAAAATTTTCACTCGTATAGATACCCCATTTTTGACACTTGGCTTATCTGTCCAAAAGAAAGCGACATCGTCTGCATAAGCCAACACTTCAACTTCACTGCCTAATATACTGAAGCCACGAATGCAACTGTGTTATAATATGCTTAAACACAGTGGTTCTAGATAAAGTGCAAGCAGCAGTGGTGACATCGGGCATCCCTGTTTTACAGAAGAGCGAATAGAAACAGATTTAGAGAGTAGACCATTAACAATCATGCGAGTTGAGCATTCATTATAACAAAGTTTAACGCCTTTAAGAACAACTTTGCCACCATTGGCGTGTTCGAGAAGAGAAAAAAGGAAGGAATGACTTACACGATCAAAGGCTTTTGCAAGGTCTACCTGTAGCATTGCAAGACGTTTTTGATAACTGTGACAGTATTGAAGCATTGTAAGAGCGACATGTATATTGTTTTGTATGGATCGACTCCTGATTTCATACGTCTGATGAGCCCCGCCGCGGTGGTCTAGTGGCTAAGGTACTCAGCTGCTGACCCACAGGTCGCGGGATCGAATCCTGGCTGCGGCGGCTGCATTTCCGATGGAAACGGAAATGCTGTAGGCCCGGGTGCTCAGATTTGGGTGAATATTAAAGAACCCCAGGTGGTCGAAATTACCGGAGCCCTCCACTACGGCGTCTCTCATAATCATATGGTGGTTTTGGGAAATGTGTATCATTTTGGGAAATGTGTGTGGTTTTGGGAAATGTGTAATCATATGGTGGTTTCCTAAAATGTGTATCATGTATTTTAGCTATAATAGTTTTAAGTGGCAGTGGAAAAATTGTTTGCTAGAGTACACGAAAGTGGCCTATTTTACGCAGAGAGAAAACTGTTAGCTTCACATTATTTCATAAAGACGAAATCTCCGCAATAGTCAATTGTTGACCACCACCTTGTAGGTCTGACATCTTCTAAATAAAAACAGCTTATTAGTATACACACTAACGCAAATGACTAACTCGTGATTCTCTTAGCACACAACCACATGATTAAACAATTAGGTTCTCTTTTGGCAATGTACGTTTCGTATCTTTGCCTCTCTGACCGATAGACAACATACTTGCACCCGTTTTTAAGACCAGTAGCAACATTGTGACTGAGGACGGTAACTGTGTGTGTGTGTGTGTGTGTGTGTGTGTGTGTGTGTGTGTGTGTGTGTGTGTGTGTGTGTGTGTGTGTGTGTGTGTGTGTGTGTGTGTGTGTGTGTTGATGGCGCCGAGCGTGGAGCATCCCCTCGCCCATGTTTGTCCAGTGTGTGTGTGTGTGTGTGTGTGTGTGTGTGTGTGTGTGTGTGTGTGTGTGTGTGTGTGTGGTGTGTGTGTGTGTGTGTGTGTGTGTGTGTGTGTGTGTGTGTGTTGATGGGGCCGAGCGTGGAGCATACCCTCGCCCATGTTTGTCCAGTGCGACCGCCCACGACTGCAACAAAGGCCTGCAACAAGCAAGCTCAAGTTGCGTTACGTCATGTTCCCTTCAAGCGTCCATCGGAAACACAATGGTAATGATAACTAACAGAACACGTTGTCAAGTAAGGCATAGGGCAATGTTGTTAGTCCCTTGTGTCTTCATTGGCATCATCGTCTGTTAGCTTTATTGTGATAGCAATTATATGGAGACTCTAGGCTGGATCTTTCCGCCGGCGCCACTCCCCATATATGTATACGCATATATAATTATTAAAACGCAAGAAAGAAAAAAGTTCAGAAAAGGACTACGGCGTGCAAAATCAAACTTGTAACCTCTGCATCGTGAGGACGAAGCTTTAAACACTGAGCCACCGAAGAGCACGACCTTCAACGTGCAAACGGGAAGCTATTTATACCTACCACTTACCGCTGGTGATGGGCATCTCGCAGGGGAACTATAGTGTTTTCAGCATTAACAACAAGATGGCGCAATAAGCGCGCGTCTCCTACGCACGCCAATAAGCCCTCATCTCCTACGCGTACTTTGCCAGCTACGCATACTTTGATTCTCCAACGCGTACTTTGCATGCTTGGAAGTGGTAACTGACGTATTTTGGGGGGACTGAATTGTTTCTAGAGATTGTGAGTCTTCTGTGTGTACTCTATGTGTTTGAGTGTGAAAAAAAGGGTGTTTTTTTTTGGTGGAGGGGGGGGGGGGGGACAAACCCCGTGCCTGCTTCATGCGTTCGTAGCACTTGACTTAAAATAAACGCGCTGGGTGACATCATACGTATACGACATCATACATATTTTAATATAGATACCATCATCAAAACGGCCAGGGGGGCTAAATGTCGTAGGCGGCTAAACAGACAGACAGACAGACAGACAGACAGACACAGACAGATAGACAGACAGACAGACAGATAGATAGATAGATAGATAGATAGATAGATAGATAGATAGATAGATAGATAGATAGATAGATAGATAGATAGATAGATAGATAGATAGATAGATAGATAGATAGATAGATAGATAGATAGATAGATAGATAGATAGATAGATAGATAGATAGATAGATAGATAGATAGATAGATAGATAGATAGATAGATAGATAGATAGATAGATAGATAGATAGATAGATAGATAGATAGATAGATAGATAGATACGCTCAAAGTCGCCGAAGTTCGCTAAGGAATGCTTCGCATTTAAAAAAGTGCTTTATACGGCGTGAGAGTTATCGTGCTATATATACAAGGCACCCGCTACGTTTTCGAAAACACGACGCCTATAGCTTATCGTCCGCCTTGTACGGCAGGTATGTGTTATATACTTACTGTGAAGAAAGTGCTTTTGTTCGGCCGTCGGTAGGATTTGAAAACGCATATCCTGCTGCTTCGGAAGAGGGTGAACAGCTCGGGGATTATGAGTATGAAGAAGAGCACCCAGAGCCAGGCAATTTTCTCGATGTCCGATATTGTTGCTTCGTGGTCCTTGTCACGTTCCACGGCTGTAACGATAGATCATTAGAAAAAAACGTGTTAGCTTTTCCTGCACAGGTTATATGAAAAACGTTCAGGAGCCTCACCTACTTCGTACGCCTACATGTTTGCACTCGTTTCTCCACCATAAGCGCAACCACATATTAGCTGTTCTTATTTCTCTTTCACTTTGTTAATAAATCATCTTCACTATTACCAAGCTATGAGCTTTGATAACCCAGGTGTCTGCCCTGCCGCGGTGGTCTAGTGGCTAAGGTACTCGGCTGCTGACCCGCAGGTCGCGGGTTCGAATCCCAGCTGCGGCGGCTGCATTTCCGATGGAGGCGGAAATGTTGTAGGCCCGTGTGCTCAGATTTGGGTGCACGTTAAAGAACCCCAGGTGGTCGAAATTTCCGGAGCCCTCCACTACGGCGTCTCTCATAATCATATGGTGGTTTTGGGACGTTAAACGCCACAAATCAATCAATAACCCAGGTGTCTTTCTTTATTTTTACACGACATCGAGTTCATGAGATTGAAATTAAACCTTTAGCTTTGGCCTATCCAGGCACCTGTCGCTTTTTAGAGAGTACGGATGCGCCGGATTGTACGTCCTCAAAAGCGCCGGTAGCTATAATTCATAACAATTTGTTTACCTGCCGCAGTTGAGCTTTAGAGACATGTATCACATCAAGATTCTTTTTTATACGACCGTTCTAGTAGAATAAGGAAAAGTTGAAATATAATATATTGTAATTGTAATTCTATCGATGACTCTTGCACAGAAACTAATGACAGCACATGGCAATAGTTACGTGAAGTCTGTTTAATCAGCGAGTCACGGATTGGCACTGCAAGCACCCTTCCTCACGCAAAACTACTTGGCATTCCGCAATTTCGGTGATGGTGTGAAACCTACACAATATAAGCGGAGCCAGGCCAGCACAGAGGGAATAGTGCACTGTGTTTTGATCCGCGAGTGATTTGTCAATGCTAATACGAACGAGTTGAATACTCTCAGCCACGTTGCAAGTGGGCTTCAAGATTTTATACCTGAAGCGCTAGTGATTTCGCTCACATCTAAGTCCTTATTTTACGATGGCAGGTCGATACGTTGTTTAGAGGAATGTAACGACCACTTGGTCAACACGAGGGCTGTGTTTGTGGCTTCGTCACCATCCAAGTAACTCACGTACCGAGGCCGTTTCTGCAGACGGGCACCGTTCTCTTGGCGATGTGCGAGACGATGAAGAGCAGCGTTGCCTTGGATACGGCTGCCGAGGAGAGCACCAGGGCGAAGGTGATGAAGTAGGTGACCACCTTGAGCACCTTGAGCGTGATGTCCACCCACTTGGAGCTGATGGTCTCGTCCTCCTCGGCATTCGGGGTCACCACGAACACGTCCCATCCTTTGTTGTCCTGGCTGTTCCGTCGGCTGCGCACGAGGAGTGGCGTAAGAAAAGCAGCACCGACTACATCAACGACGACGTCGTAGTTTTTCGATAGGCGATAGCCAAAGCTGAGCCACATTCCTTTTCACTTCAACGGAATAAAATAAGACTGAATGAAAGAACAGCAGAGATTACTGCAAGCGGGGGCAGTAACGCGGTTCAAATCGCTTGTACCTGCTTTCTATTGAGCCGGGCTAGACAAGGAGATGAAAAAATACAATGGGACCAGGAGGTGAACAAAGCTTCCACATTTGTCCGTATAGCCATGCATGCCTTTTACGTAGATTGGAAAACACGCGCAAAATGAATGAATGATAAAGAAATAGAAGGTGAAATTCTGCATTTCCTTAGTGTGAGGCTATTGTTCTCATGCGTGATGATCTGTGGATTCCTTTCGCACTGCACGTCTAGATGCAATATCTCATGACTCGCATTTGTTTGGACACTTAGGCGCGTATATAAGCATCAGTGAAAAGAATACATATATGTATTCTTTACTAATGCTAGAAGTTTCTTGCCACGAACTGGCGTGGTGCAGTTTAAAAAATATACTATACTAGGTTTTTGAAAACTCGTAATTTCTCAACAGCTTTATAAGGCGGTCAGTTATTCTGGACCTACTTGCACGCAATCGGGAACTTGTGCGTAGCATTTTTGGTTCCTGGGTTTTAGGGGCGAATCTCCTAAAGCCGTGGGATTTTCCATGAATGTCTTTGACCGGCCGGTAACCACCAAGTTGTATGACTCACTTAGCAGGTGGTTATAGTGTGAGTTACATACATACATACATACATACATACATACATACATACATACATACATACATACATACATACATACATACATACATACATACATGCATACATACATACATACATACATACATACATACAACATACATACATAATACATACATACATACATACATACATACATACATACATACATACATACATAGATACATACATACATATGAACGGTCAGAGAGACAGACGCACGGATAAACGCATGGACGGTCGGAACAACCGGTGGCACATACCCGAGAGAGTGGTCTTTAGAATGTCCGCTTGATGGTGGTATACTTTGATGAATACATGATGAAAAGATGTGAGATAGCGGTACTTGGGGTGTTCACCAGGTGGACCGACGGACTGATGGACGCACGGATGAACGGACATACTGAGGGACGCATGTACGGATGGAAGCAAGAACAAATAGATGGACGGAAGCACGGACGGACTGATGAATGCTTCGCCCCACCAATAATCATTCACTCCATGGATATGCTGGGATTTCTTTATTCAATTTGACTGCATAAGGTCAAGCTCAATTCTACGCCTCGCGGTGCATGGTAATGAATTAAACTTCACGAACAGAATTCCATCAATGGAACTGATGGTTTTGGCCATATGAAACGTGAAATGTTAATAGTATTAATTGTTGAGGTTTAACTTCCCAAAACCACCATATGAATATGAGGGACGCCGTAGTGGAGGGCTCCGGAAATATTAACCACCTGGGTTTTTTAACGAGCAACGATTCAATCTAAGCACACAGGCTTGAAGCATTTTGAAAGCGTGAAATACACTAATATAACATGGCTCAGTGAGTATTCCTGATTACGAGATTTTGGGTTCAATTCCAAGCTAACTGCTAATAAAATCAGGCGAAAAGTTAACGTTGTTAACGCAGTTCTTTATAAGTGTTTCACATTATTTCTCGAGAACGAGTGACGCTGTTGTGCAGAATAACAGTAGGCTCATTCAATACTAGGTGATGCGCTTGCCCCTGGGCCCACGGCAACGAGAAGGGGCGTTCAACGAATTTACTTGGTCTTCCTGCGAGAAACTGGGCTGTTATACACACGGTGACAGACACCTAACATTCAGGGGATGCCCAGGCGGAAAGATTGCCGGCCATGTTGGCCAGACTAACGCCGCCTGCAGCAATATCACAACCACCACTATGAACGTTAAAATTTCCACAGCCTTCCATTACGGCGTCATTCATAATCATATGCTGGTTTTGGGGCAATAAACCCAATAAATATTGTTATTACCACCTGTAATAAGTATTTCAATAAACTTGGAAACACATTCTGAGATGACTGAGATGCGCTAGCACTATGTGCGCGTCAGAAACAGATATAATTTAGGGGATTAACCTCTCTTATGCGATGTCGTGAATGTCACAACACTCCGCGCGTCCTTATTGTTCGTAAATTTAGCACGATCGCGTGTGCAGACAACTGTAGACGTGTGCAGCCATGTACTACTTTCGCGTAGTTGTTTTCTGAGAGGTATTCCCAGCTTTCAACGGCGTATTTGCCTTAGTTTATAAAGACCATGATTCGAGGCGCTATCGCCCAGACAACAAACTCTCCTCCCAGCGCCTCCGTCTGCAGCGTAAGTTTGCGGTGTCAGGCACTTCCGCAGTTAAACGAGGACTATCACCGTGCGACGGTTCCGTGTGCGAGGGCAAACTGACGGAAACAATGACCTAGGCAACGCACACAATGAGGAAGGCCGGCAGGTTGGTTGACAGAGCCTTCGCTCTCGTTTATAGCGCCATTTTCAACGTTCGTTCCGCGTATGCATCTCTGCACGACGTCGATGACGACGGTGTATCTTGAGAGGAACACAAAACAACAATGACTGCATCTTAGTTTCACTGTCCTGACAAGGCGCGCTCTTTGAAAGCACGACTCGACTGCGAGTGCTCCGTGGTGGCTGGACGACGACGGCAGCCAGCCCTTTTGTGACGCTTCGTGGCTGAAGTGGGACACTGAGGACAAGACTGGTCCGTAGGGCTTGAAAGAAGAAGAAGAAAGAAAGAAAGAAAGAAAGAAAGAGAGAAAGAAAGAAAGAAAGAAAGAAAGAAAGAAAGAAAGAAAGAAAGAAAGAAAAAAGAAAGAAAGAAAGAAAGAAAGAAGGAAAGAAAGAAATAAGCATTGTAGCTGGGTCTCCGGCGTGGCCGTCACTTCGTGTTTCGGCTGACACACGTGCGAGAAGTGAAACGGGCATCGCAGTGCGAAGACGAGGTCGGCTAGTGGCGACCTACACGGCCGTGTTGCGGTATGGGGCTTCATTTTAGCGCGAGGTAATTGCGGACCGCTTGGCAGCTGCCTCACGCTCCATCCGTATATGGTCTACCAGCGCATGGAGTTTCGTGAGCTCGCATCCCTAGGAGCCCACATGTGTGTTTCTCTGGGTCTCCATGCGAGCAACAGCGGCTGCGGAAACGCTGACGTGACAGCTGGGCTGCGCACGGCGCGCAAGTCATCTCAGTATAGGTAGCCGACGTCAAGAGAGAGAGATGGGTATGTATGACTTGGAAAGCTGAGGTGGACGACAACTTGAAGACGAGTTGGCGCTGCCTTTTTTTCTCTTTGCAGTACATGAGCCGTATGTATAGGCAGTCGGACATTCAACGCTTGCGATGTCCCCACATTTTGCGCCCTTGACAGCCAACATACTACAACATTAACGGCGAGAGTCGGTGGGATATTTGAGAGTCGCGGGCTTGAGTGGACGCAATCGACTTTGACAGCTCAGTAGTAGGTCAAAAGGTGAGGACCAAGAAAAGAATAAATTTGAATGCGGTGGAGTATCGTGGCCTGCGCTATAGTAGTAAGGTCTTCATCGGCGATGGGTAGACGCGCCGATCTCTTTTGGAAAGGTTTGTGATGTCATCAAAGGAAGTCGGTGCCTCACCAGGGAAGATTGGGATGCACCTCCCAGCTTGTTATACCTCGGGCTACGCGGTGCGCCTCCTCGTTCCCGGCTGGCGCTTATTACATGCGAATCAGTAAACCCCATCTGCCAAAACTGTAGCACGCGAGAATCGGCCACACAACATCACGTATTGCAGGCTGTGATGGCTTTGTTCCGCCCCAAAATGCTCCTGCGAGCTCGATCATGGTCAGCGTGGGAGGAACTCATCAAACCTCCCATTAAGGAGAAGCAGCTCGCTATTCCTGCCTGGACCAAAAGGGTCGCTGCCCACGTGGAATCACCTTGAGGACCACGCCTTCACTGTCAATAAAGTAGGTTCCTTCTAAATTAAACGGACATGTCCAAAGTAATGCTGGTGTTTATCAATTTTTCATGAATGATTTCTGGAGACAAACGGTATACAAGTGTTCGACAGGTTATTTTGCTTATAACGAAACACGGTTGACTCTTAAATGGCTCTGAAGGCACCGATTCTTTTTCCTGTTCAACGCCGCCCACAAAGTGAACGTAAAAAGCAAAAGCGTTAGGTACGCAATAAAATTTCAGCGTCATTAAGTAACTTCGCAATTTCTCGCTACGCTTGTGCATAACCACGTAAACTAATATTGTCAAATAACATTCGATCAATCGTGCGTTTTTTAACACGAAATCATTTTATGCTGGGGTCCGCGATGGCTCTGCTGACGTATTTCCGTCGTGAATACGTTGTTGCGAAATATATAAACCCATTCCATGATGTTAAACACTCGTAGGCGGGCGTCGACATTATGGGTAAAATTACGGCGAAATCCGCACGTACCTTCCGCTCACAATTTTTGGGCGAAAAAGCCCGAATCCATACCCCGCATCATAAGCACTGAGGGCTGCGATGTGCGCCAACAAACAAAACGATGTTGTGAGACGCGACTCGCCATCACATTCCATGTTTGCTGCCAGTGACTATTTCAGGAGCCCTATGCAGCGCACACAACCGATGAGCCCGCGTCGGAAACCAGTTCACCAGTTTTACGGCTGCAGCTCATTTCTTGCGAAGGCTCTCGTCAAGTGGAAACCAATAAAAACTTCTGCTGCCTTTCTTATGCCTTTCAGCACATCGAACCGCGACAGCAGCTAGTCAGTATATCGTTTTTTTTTTCTCGTTGCTTAACTGAGAACATCACATACACCATCGAAAAGCCAGCAGGAACGGCGGTAGGCAGAGCGTCTTTTGCCTACCAACCGAAACCAAACGCCAGACGACAGCGCCATCG